TAATTTAATAAAGAACATCTACCAAAACCTTAAGCAAACTTCATGCTTAATGGAGAAACTTTAAGAGCACTCATTAAAGACAGTAAGAAGACAAGGATGCCCACCATCACTGTTACTATTAAATATCGTACTGGAGGGTCTACCCAATGCAATAAGACAAGGAAAAGATATGAGTCATAAGGAATGAAAAAGAAAAGATAAATTATTATTTTGGGATTGCCTACCTAGAAAATTCAAGAATATCTACCTACACATTCTTAGAATTAATAAGAGAAGTCAGCTGGAATGCTAAACACAAGATCAAAATTCAATAATCAGGAATGTTTCTATGGGCCAGCAAATAACCAATTTGAAAATATAATAAGAAAAAAGATACTTAAAATATCAACAAAACCTATAGGAAATAAATACAGCAAAAGTTGCGTACAACATTTATAGAGGAAATCACCAATCATCATGCACCTGAATAAAAAGAGAAGATGAGAAGACCCAATACTGTAAAGGTATCAGCTCTCCTGGAATATAAATTGAACGCAATTGCAACAAAAATCCAAACACAATTTTTTGTGCATGTGCCATTAGACAAACTAACATTTATATGAACTAGTAAAATCCAAGAAACCCAAGGAATTCTGAAAAAATATAAAAGTAATTGTAATAGCTAACAATTATTGTGTGCTTCCTTATATGGCAGGCACTATGCTAACATTTTTGCATACGTTATCTCCTCACATTTATCCTTGAGGTGGGTACTATTATCTATTTATTTTATAGTCAAGGAGACTGAGAGAAATTAGGTAACTTGCCCAAGGTTACTTGATACTCTGAGTAGTAATAGATGCAAAAAGTCAATAGTGTAGTATCTTCCATGTACTGAGGGAAAATAAGTACTGAGAATTCTACACTTAGTCAAACTCTCATTTGTAAGAGCAAAATAAAGACATTTTCAGGAATATAAATACTTTAAAGTTTACCAAAGACCTTTTATGCAAGAACTTCTAAATTTACATTGACTTGAAGAAAAATGAACTCAGAAGGAAGGAGTGGGGTATCATATACTTCTGTGGGCCACTAAGTTGGCTCTGTGCTTCCTTTTGGCCAAAGAAGAAATGGGAAACGTCAATTAAAGGATTCACAGCATCCACAAGACAAAACAGACAAGTTGCTCACAAGAACTATTCCTGGCACTGAGACCAGAAAGACATTTTTTATATGGTTAAATGGATACATGATCTGGGATTTTGGTCTGAGTACGACAATTTGGGAAAGAGGCGCTTGATTCTTAGAATTTTTTTTCAACAACAAGGTGATTTGGAAGCATCAGCCTTCCAGAAATCTCTTACTTGAAGAACAGAAGAGATAGAGCCCTACTTAAGGCGTGTTATTTGAATGATCAGGTGTTTTAGAAAAGCCTGTCCTTCTGGGGATCTTTAGGTATATCCCAGGAAGAAGATGCATAAGGCCTGGTTGCCTGTGGGGGCACATGGTGGTACAGGATCTGGGCATTTTTCCCCAGAGTTATCTCCAGAATATTTCCACCTCCACTAAACCGGTTCATCTTGCCAATGCATGGGAGCACCCACATAGCCAGACTTCCAAAAAATAGTTTATTATTGTGTTTTCATGGTAATAAGCATCGAGAAGCAATAAGCTTTTCTCTTTCTCTCCTGTTCCATGCTAAATCCTTGACCTACCTACCCTGACATTCCATATGACACATAAGTAAGTGGGAGCCTGGGAGCTTTCCCTGGGTCTTCCTACCCATCTCACTCCCCTGACAGAGCTAAGAACAATGAAAGCCCATAATGGCAGAGCTCTGAAAACAGAATTTGCCTGATCTACTTTAAAAATCCTGACTTCTACCAGGACTGCTCCAGAATCTCATGGGATTCCAGGAACTGCAAGCTGGCTGGGAAGCTTCCCAAGAATTCTGAATAATTCTCATGGGTATAGCTGGCTCCCAAGGGAAGGTGAGCTACCTCTGGCTAAGTCTGGAGCAATTCCCAAGGACTTCCAAAGAGAAGTGACAATGGGAGATGGGAGAGATGAGAGACAGAGGCATATTGCAATTAATCAAAATATTAGTTCTTGCTAAAGCACAAAATACTTTCCCTTCCCTTTTCTGTTTTTTCTTGTAATTAAAAGAATAATAATAATACTATATGCACAGGGAGATGGTAGACAGTAGCGACTGAGATGCATAGACTTTGGCCACTGACCTGAATTCACGATTTGATTCTAGCCCATAGTGGTTATGCGACCTCGGCAAGTTACTCCTCTGATTCTAGTTTCTGAATCTTTTATCATGAGAATAATAATAGTATTTACGTCAAAGCATTTTAAAATGAAATACCATATGTTTGTGCTTTATACTCAATAAATGTTAGCTATTACTATTGTAAAAAAAAGTTGAGAAATATAGGCAAGCACAAAGAAAATGAAAAGCATCTCTCATCCTACCGTCCATTTCATTGCATATAATTCCAATATTTTTTGGATATATTTTCAAACAGTGAGATTACAGGGCTTTCTATTTCATAACTTGCTTTTAAAATTTAACACTATACCCTAAGCATGTCCTATGTAATTCAGTATTCTTGTACAAGATGATTTTAAAAGGCCACATGGCGTTCCCTTGGGTTATTTTACTTCTTAATAATCCCTGCCCTCCTTCCTCAATGCAGGCCCCGCACTTCATGTATTTCCAACCCATCTGACCCGTCCAGATGATAACTGGCTACTTTCTATTGGCTAAGTGGGGCTGCAGCCTTCATCTCACCATCCAGACCACCTGCTCCTTGGGTTGGGGACACATTGCTGGCCTTCATTACGCCCCCAGGGTCCTATCTGGGGCTGCACAGCAAACCCTCTGAATGATGTCAAACCACCCAGTTTAACACGATTCCATGAGGTGGGAAAAGCTAAAAGGCAGAAAGGCGATTTCTCTCCAAACAGTATAAAGTTGAATTCTGGGGCATTAAATACACTATTAAAAATTCTCAGGAAGAGGAAGAGACTGGAGATTTTTATCTAAGTGCATTGTTTTTCTAAGCAACAGGGCCAAACAAGTTCAAAACTTGAGGTTTTTTTCCTAATGAAAGTCACAACACGTTGTTATCAATGGCCTTCTGAGACCACAGTAATTCCTTACTAATTGATACTAATGAGGAACTGTCAAACTGAATCAGCAGAGAAAAATTAATTACATCCTTTTTAAAAGACAGGAGTTTATTTCCAATGAAATTCATTTTTTTTAAATCTTTATTTCCAAATAGTTCAATACCTTGAGCCGTTTGGACAATTGTTCAGAACCTGATCTAATACATTTGTTACAACCACATTTATTGTTTGTATAGAAAGAGGAGTGGCTCAAGTTCTTGAGAAGTGTGTTCTCCCTAAAAACAATACAAGTTCAATACCCCTTAAGATCCTAGTCACACAGCTCACTCCTTAGGAAAGCTTTGTCTTCCTAAGTCATGTGGAAGCAAAGCCCAGCTCAGTCACCCACCCCCCACCCTCCCACCCACCTCCACTCCCGCCCCCTCCAGTTCTGAGTGAGCTGGCAGAGGTTTCCAATATCAACCCAGACCAATCTCTAAAAAAAAAAATCTCCAGATTCCAGACTTGATCTGTCCAGACCCATCTGAGTGAGCATTAACAAGTTCCTTCTAAGCACCCAGAAAGCCTGTCATGGAAACACTGATTCAACGGTAATGAGAACCGACATAAAAACCACACAAATGAACTAAACAGTCTTCCACCCAATCAGAGTCAAGCTGAAGCAACTGCCTCAGGATTAAAATGTGAGGCTTTTTTTTTTTCCTTTGTGGTACTGCTCATTTTAGCCTCTTCCATTGCCTTGTTTTCACAACTCCTGTTTATGAGAAAGTTGGAGTTGGGGGCGGAGAGAAAGGCAGGGTGAGTATGCCAAGCTGGGCACGCCAAAAAACACTGCGGTTCATGTCAGGCAAATTAAAGCCTCTGGTCTCGGGGAGGCTGTAATGGTCTGTTTGGGGTAGTCTGAAAACAAGCTAGCTGAACGCCCGTCTTCCACTAACAGTTAAGTGTGGAATGAAGTCTACTTTCCAAACATCAGATTCGGCACAGTATTTTTAGCAAGCTCTCTTTTTATCTATCTTCTTTTTCTTTATTATTTTTCCCTGTTTCTTTCGGAATTAGAAAGGCTAATTACATGATGTATCATTATTTTTGGAAGAAAGCATAGTTGGAGAGGTTAGAAAAAAAAAAGATGCCCAACGGAAATAGTAAAGTTCTCAAGAGGAATAGATTTTAATTTCCCCTAGGACCCACAAGGTACGATTTGTGGGTCCAGGGGACCCAACACCAAATCCCACTGAAGGTCGTTCCTGCAGGAAATGTTTGGACAAGTGTGGCGGCCCCTGCGACTGTGGCCCCTTAGGCTGGGTCATCGCCTTCTAGGGCTGGAGGGGACACCGCGCAGGAGACATCAGCTGTAGCCGGAGTCTGGGGGACATGCGCCTCCCCGGGAATGGGGGAAAAGGGGTTGTAGCAGCACGAATAACAGGAGCCAGGAAGAAGGAAAGTTAGAGTCCTAAGGGGGCAGGGAGTATCCAGAGCTACTGAGAGAGGGATAAAGGACGGAGGCTGGTGACCCAGGTCCGGGGAGCCTGACCGCGCACGGGTTTGTACGAGCCCTCGGCCCCCGCCCTCGCAACTGAGTCTAGATTCTTTTCTTTGCTGTTTGAGTTTTCTTTCTCTTTAGAGCCGGACCCGGGTCACAGCGGCAGCCCCAGAGCTGAGGTGCGGCGCGGAAGTCCCGTCAGGGCCCACCCCCACCCCTTGCAGGCCCTGGGCACCTCTGGGGGCAGCGAGGGCGGGTGTGGGGAGATGGCGCACAGCGCGCGGGGCGCCCAGCGAGCTCCGGAGATGCCCGCGTCCGGGGACCGCCTGCGCTCCAGCCCGCAAACTTTCCCAGCGAACTGGGGGTAGCCCCACCCTGGAGAGGGGGCTCCCCGTGCCTCCCCGACTGTCCCCTGGGGCTGGTCACTCACGAGCAGCACGGCTGGGGCTCCAGTTTTGCCGCTGCCATCCACACTGGGAGGAGAAACAGGAGGAGGAGGGAGAGAAAGAGGAGGAGGGGGGGGGAAGGAGAGGGAGGGCCCGGAGCCGACCAGAGTGGAGAGGCGGGGAGGGGGTGGCAACTCCACACACACTCTCCCGTCCCTGCCCCACCCCCTGCTCCGTCCCCTGCCAGATCCCCCCTTCTCTCCTCACTCTTTCTTTCCCGCCCTGGATCCCCCCAAGTTTTTCTGATGTCTGATTCTCCGTTCTCTTCCCTCCGGCGTTATGTTCCTTCCCTTGAGTCTCCAGCCCCTAATATGGGGAGAAGGTGATCCCTCCAGCAAAATTCCCGGGGCGGGGGGCGGTATGAGTTAAGTTTGGACGCCCCCTTGAAGCAGGTGGCTGGGACCCTTGGCAGATCAGAGATCTCTGGGTGGTGGGATGATGGGGGGAAGACACACACAGGACACGGCTGTGGACTTTGTGGTCTTGCTTTCCCCGTTATTTCATTGAGTTTGTTTTGTTTTGTTTTCTCTTGTGATTAGGAGAACTAAAGAGTTATTTCTGAAGCCTCTATTAAGTGCCTCCTTTTCCCTTCCTGTGGGACCAGCCCTGGTCGCAGGGAAGATGAAGGGTAAAGATGGAACCCCACCTTTCTGGGCAGTCAATACTCAGGAGGAGGAGCACACGGGATAGCCTAGTGAAGAGCCAAGCTGCAGGGATGGGACAGAAGGTAAATATTTACAGATGCCTCTTGTGTGCCGCCTGCAGAGTGCTGAAGAGAAGGAGAAGGGGAGTTGTCTTCAGAGAAGTTAGAAGGTGGCTTCTAGTCCCTACTCCGTCACTGGCTAGCGGGTGACTCTGGGCAAGTCACTTGGCATCTCAGCCTCTTCCAAAAGTGGGGCTGCCTCACTGGTAGCAAGTCAGAATGAAAGGAGAATATCCACTTGTGCCTTTTACCCTGGAGGGACGCCCAATGCCGGGATGGGAGGCTTGAGCTGCGTTTGAATAGACTCAGAGGGGAGACAAGAGGGCATTCCAAGCCGTGGGACGTGATGCTTTGGAGGCTGGCAAGACTGGAAGGCTTAGGGGAGGTGGGAAATGTTCGGATGGGAAGGTGGAGCTGAGCGTGAAGCAGAAAATAGGAAATCAATGAAATTTTTTAAGCAAAGGAATATTGTGATCCAAGGGGTGTCCTATTCACCTTTGTATTCCCAGGGCCTGGCATACAGTAGGCACCTAATAAATCCTTGTGGACTCAGAATGGCAATTGAGGAATGTTGATTCAACAGCGTGAAAGATGCACTGTCTAGGAAGAGAGGGTTTGGGCCCAAGGAGAGGAGTTAGGAGGACCTCGTGAACATCTCAACTGGAAATGCGATGCCTGGATGGTAGAAATGAAATGAGGGAATTCTGATTGAACACTTTGTGTTTGCATAGCAATGTGCTTCTCTTTTAAATGCTCTTTCAAGTGTAGTCTTGTTTTTGACCTTGGAGTTCCTTGGTAAAATGGAAAAGATAACTTTCAGTATCCTATTCAACCACCAGCCAGTGTTAAGAACCTGCACTGAGGGCTATGAGGAAGGAAGGAAACATTCAGAGAGGGCACAGGAGTGCCTGAAATCACACAGCCAGGATTTATAGAGGATACTTTTATTCTCAGATAAAATTTCTACTTGTTTTTATGCTTAAGACACCCTAAGCAAACAGGGTGTCTTCCCCATCTCCTCCAGGTACTGTCCCGGTGATGGTGACCGTCAAGGGCTGAGGAAGGGCAAGAGGGAGCCTAAAGAATAGAAAGTCAACTGGCTGATTTGTAACTTTTGAGACTCTTCTGTGGAACAAGACAGGTACTGGGCCCAAGTCAGCCTTCTGGTAAGGAGCTGAGAGAGGTGCTGAGCAAGGACAAAGGAAGGAGGAAGTAGAGGAAAGGAAGAAAAAGAGGTGCTTTGACCCCAGGCATTCTGGCTGAAGCCCCAAACTGAACCTCCTATGTCCTGTGTCCAGCCAGTGGGCTTTCTAAGGAGGCCAGCCATCACAGAAAATGCCACAGGTAACACCCGGAGAAGGGACTCATACAGGAAACAATATACTTGACAAACAGCAATTATCATTGCATTTAAGTAGAATTTGAGTGCACCTTTTTAATTCTGTCTTCTTTGAATAAGCAGTCTGGCCTTGATTAAGTAGGTAGCCCACCTAGTGAAAGAAATCTCTTTTGGAAACTTGGACACTTCTGCAAAGCAAATAGACCCATAATTTTCTAAAGACCAAATACTACAGTTGGTTGAAAACCATTTATCTTTTATAGGGGACAATCCTTCTCCCTTCTATGTGACTCAGTGTTACCCCAAAGGCTGCCACTTTATGAAGGCAGATTTATTTATTGTAACTTCTCCACATATTTCCAAAGAACCCTTTCTGGCCTTGTCCCTTTGTATCAGAATCGGGTGGTAAACAGCTCAGCCTGGCCTTAACAGCTAAGCCATGACAGCCGTTCATCGCCAGCTGTGACCTCATTTTCCTCCCGTTCCTGTTCTTTTCCTTGTTCTACAATAAGCAGACCCTCAGACTATATCATTCTTCTTTTTATTAACAGGTTTCCCTTTCCTGGCAGCCTTTTCACGGAAACCATTTAGAACTTCCACACTGTTTAACGAGGGGTCCCCAAAGTGTCTGTAGATAATGACCTAGTAGATTAACTTGCAATTCCTCAAAACTCAAATCAGCTGAAGTTGTCAGGATCCATTAATATAAATTCAAACCAGTTTGCAGAAATGCCCAATTTGAAAGGGGACTTGGTTGGGAAAAGTGAAGTCTTCAGATTTAGGACAAGCTTAGCCCTAAATGCTTGATCAGAACATTCCTCTCTAAAAACTTTATAACAATAAGTCTCTATTTACATTGCAACATTCATTCAAGAGAAAGTAAGCCCTGTTGGAAAACCATATTCAAAAAAATATTACCCAGTGGATGGCTTCAACAACAGTGAAAATGAAACAGGAAAAAAAAATATCACCATTTTAGGTGCATGATGCTTTCTGGAGCATCATGAAGAACACACTGTTTTTAAACAACTTTTTCCATGAGGAAACCTGAATACTCTTTGGATAAAAATTTCCAGGGATAAATTAAAAGCCCACATCTTCATTGAGAATGCCAACTGAAATCAATGATAATTAAGGGGATGATCACTTAATCAATTCAGAATGACCCGAGATTGGCTATCCTTTGTCCTGGAGATGGAACACTCTTGGGTGTGGTTGAGCTACAGTTGTCCAGTACCTTGGCCTGCTCCCTAAAATGTATCCACTTAGCATTTATTGAACACCTACTATGTACATAACATTCTGCTAGGCACTGTGGGGAGTAAGTATAAGGCATGGTTCCTGCCTCACAGCACTGGAGCTGCTCAGGGAGATGGCATAGAGGAAAATGACTACATGAGATATGGTGACAGTTTAACACAGCAGAAGAGGTGTCCTAAAGAAATATAGGAAAGCTAAAGAGAGGGAGAATATTCTTTAGGATCTGAGCAAGATGGGAGTGACATTTTGTTCTTTGTTACTTAACTGTGTTGTTTCTATTCTTGGACCTATGGGGTGTCACCACTCAGCTATTCCACTGGTGTTTAGGGAGCAGTGGGACTGAGTTCAGAGGTCATTAAAGCTCCTGGTAAAACAAACACAGAGGTTCTAAGTGGGGGAGGTACATTTGAGGCCCCTATACCTACAACCCAGACAGTAGCCTGCAGCGTGTTTCTGCCTAAGAGTCAATTCTAATCCTCGCCTTAAGAAAAGTTATTCTAATGCTGCTCTATAACCTTTTCTTTCACATATTTGGAAGAGCTGTAATGGGTTTTCCTGCTCTAATGCTTTGAATGCCAGTTAATTTCCTAATTTGGAGCTAATTACTAAGCTGCTTAAAAATTTAAGGCCCAGGCAACTGCTTACTGACAAGCTTTCCACTTATCACCATGGTGTCTGAGAACACGGCCCTTAGCCAAGGACGGAAGCTTCTTCTTCTATCACAGAACAGACTATTCCTTGTCAGGGTGGCTCTGTCAGATGGTTTCTTAGCCATCTCAACAAGTTGCTGTCTTCATATGTTAAAGTTATAGAGGAATTTGAAGGCTTTTAAGAGCTGGGAGCAACTTCTATGGTTAATGCTGCATAAAACAAAATTATAAACAGCACATTTTTTGCTCTGAGGATTTTTATTATACAGAGGGCTTTAATTCACGGTCATTTGGAAAGAGCCTTTCGCGCCATCTTTTTTTGTGGCTTTCTTAGCTAATTGGTTCCTCATTTTACTTATTTTTTCTCACAGTTTTGTTTGGAAATAGTGCAGCGGACTTTTTGTTTGTTTTGTTTTAATGGATAATGAACTTGGAAAGTGGTCATGTTGTTAAAAAGACTCTGTTAGCTTAACTGATAGAGTAAGTTTCTTACCCAAAGCAGTGGAGAATCCAGTTTTATCAGCTTTGAAAAGTGAGCAGTATTGCTTGCAACAACATAATGGGAGGTGGTCTTTAAAAATGATAATAACAAGACACATGCTATTTATCACCGTTTCTCATGCTGTGCCTGGAGGGTCTTTGCCCTCACCCAGGCCTGCTACAGAACATAATGTGAACAGTGCCCCCTGAAGTTGTGCAGCCAGCTAATCAACACCCCTGCCCTCATTAAAGAGCCTTTTTTTCTCATTTTAAATTTCTTATAACATAATCCAAATTTTTATTAAAAACATACCTTATATACTCATGAAAAGAATGGGAATAAACAAACATTAATGCTTAAATTTCTACAAAGAGAGGTGTGTGCTTTTGATACTTTTCCTCATTTTCCAAATTTTCAACAATGAACATATAGTATATAATTAAGAAAGAGTACGAAATGTGTCATTTCAATAAGTTCTGAAAATTCCATCTTCTCTAGGATGCAATGCATGATTAATTAAAAGTCCTTTTTCTCCTTTCACTCCTACATGGACTTTAGCCAACTCTCTGACTCCCTGCTC